GATTTTTTTCTTTAGAAAAATAATTATGTTTGCCAATTCCAAATTTAGACCTTAGGAACATTCTTAAATAAAAAATATGAATATCTTTGGTTTTGACTAGTCTGACTAGAATAATAAAAATTAATGCAAAACCGTCTTATTTAGTTTAAAAGTGGCTTGTTTATCTTAAACTAAAAGTTCAAATATTCAATTAAACATCATATTAAATTATGTAAGATGTTAAACTTTACGTATATCCGCGATCCAACAACAAAAGTTCAACCCCTTGTTCACAAATAAGAAGGGTAAATATGTACAAAATTCGGTATGAGCGCGTTTTTACTTTAAGTAATTGCCGCCGGTTTAGATCGAAATGTTGCCGAACCGTGAATGTAAAAGGTACGTGATGTGTCAACTATTATGTACAGTGCTTTGAGCATATCTTAAAAAATTGCCGAGGAAACGGTTGAGTCCCAGACACGAGTCAATCACAATTAAGCAAGTCCTTGTTGAAGTGTCCCGGAAACTCAAATACAAGATTTTATGAGACATTTTTTTTATTTTTAGTAATTAATTAGTAAGGGTCACGGTCTTATATACAGTAACTGGTCTTGCAACTTAGCCCAATTTTGGAAATTTAGGTGACGCTGCGAGACCACGCTAAAACATAACACTTTATATGCGGTGAAATATTTAAATATGTGAAACTTTTACATACAGGGTGTCCCAAAAGTGGCGCACCATTTGAAGGTGGATAATCTACAGATCCCCAGGAATCTTAAAAAATTCTACCTTTCACAATACACGATCATACAAAAAAGAAAAATTCTTTTTATTTCAAAGAATAACGTGTACTCAGTCACACCTCCATTTATTCTACCTTTATTATTTAAAAAGTTATGAGAGCATAAACATTGAGTTTTTATACTTAAAAATAATAATCTCTAAAAATGAATTAGTCAAAAATTACTAATTTAATAGTTATTAGTGGCTGCTTTTTCACTTGTACCATGGTTAACCATGAAATACCATGTTATCCCAAAATTTAACAACCAATTCTTTTGTAAAATTGTCCCCTGAATCCGAAAATACCGTCAAAAGTTAAAAAAGTATAACAGTTTTTGAGATATAATAATTGTTTTTGTTTTTTTTTTACACAATAAAGCATTTTTATTATTATTATATAGTCATTTTTCCATTTAATATGGAATTGCCTATATCTCAAAAACTGACCTACTTTTATAATTGTTGACGGTATTTTCGGATTCAGGGGACAATTTTACATAAGAATTGGCTGTTAAATTTTGGGATACCGTGGTATTCCATGGTTAACCATGGTATAAGTAAAAAAGCAGCAACTAATAACTATTAAATTAGTCATTTTTGACTAATTCATTTTTAGAAAGTAGGTTTTCCTTAATGATATTGTTTTTTTGTTGGGAATTAATGTTTAATCTCGTAAACAATACACATGCGTTTAGCAACATGATAAGCAACAACTGATTATCACAAGAAAACATTGGTTAATTCATTGTTATCTGTTGACATTACACCATAGAAAATGATTGAAATTTAAAATTAAATTCTGTTATATAGTCGCGGCCAAATCTGCATGGGTGTACGTCATCAACGGCATATGACGTCAGCGTTAAGGCCTATTCATACGAGCCCAGACACAATCTAACGCTCGTGTAGTGTTGACTGTTTATTATAATAGCGGTGAGGCTGTGTATTATAATGGAATTATCATCATTGTTATAATCCTTTACACTACTTAATTAGGAGTTTGTTACGGACAAATTTTGATTATATGCGTTTAGAGAGGAAACAAACCGAGTTTATTACATTTTGATTACATAACAAAAAAATACTAAATTAGCGTTGCCAACAAGCCTTGTAACATGGTTTGCACATTTCAGTGGTAAAATATGATAAACACAATGTATAAAATTATTTATAATAATCTGCAACAAACGATGCTTACGAACTATATGTAAAAATTACAAAAAAAATACTAATCAGAATTAAGACTTAAGCAAGCAAATTTAAAGGCAGTAACTTTACAATTCAAAGTTGGTAATGCTGACGACATTATATTGCATTGATGACGTGCACCCATACAGATTTGGCCGCGACTATACACTGAAAAAAATAAGCTGTTGAAACAACAAAAAAAATATTAATTCAACTCTTTATGCACTTTAAATACAAGCAATGGTTTTTGCATGTTTACTTAACCATCTAAAAATGTCAAATTGTATTGTTTAATTGAACAACAAATAACAGTCAAATGAACAAAATAAGAATATTTGTTCTAATCTGCTAATTTGGTTAATTTAACATTCTTAGGGTGTTAAGGTAAATTTCTTGAAATGTCCAGGTAACCTTTTTAGCATATTCACTTAACACCAATAAAATGTTAAATTAACATTCTGAAAATGTAAAATTCTTTAAAGGTTGGTATCTAAAACAAAATTATGGAAATAATATATTATTATATATAAATAGAAAGAATTGAACCTTCACCTCGCCCAGAGTTTTTGTTTTGAGCGTGTTCCACCCATGATACATCTTTGTATCATGTGTTCCACCTACTTCAAATACCGACAGACTGTTTCGCCCTGTATTGAGGGTCTTAACAGTGTCGGGCAATATGGTGTAGTGAAAGTTCTACTGTGGAACACACCTTAAACAAACAGATATCTCATCTTATATACACCTAATCGTAAGCTAACTAAGGCGAGATGTAAGAAAACGTCATTGTCTAATGACGTGGCGTGAGTGTTCGAAGCGCCATTCTCGGCAATTTTATGAATGCAAATTTTACATTTTAAATTTTAAAGTAACATTTTAAATTTGTTAAATGAACAAATTTAAAGTTTTGGATTAAAGAGCAACTAAACGTTAATTTAATAGTTTTTTTAGGTAATCCTAAAAATTTCAGTAGTTGATTCAACAAATTCCAGCTATTAAATCAAAGTACGATAAACATGTTAATTCAAAATATTAGTTTATGTTAAATTAATATTTAAACTGTCAAATGAACAAATAAACTTTGACAAACTCTGACTTTTGCTTTAACACCAAAATATAGATTAATCCAATAGGTTTTTTGTTGAAACAACATTTTTAAAAATGACATTTAGGCAAATGTTAACTCAACTACATTATTTTTTTCGGTGTAGCCTTTATGTTAAATAATAATATGTATTCCTTTAGTGAGTAGTACTAATTGTGTATTGTGATATGTATTTTGTGTTTGGAGAATGCTTAAAAATGCAAGTAATTTAGCCTGGGTGTGTGTCAATGTAATAATTATTTAATTTTATAGATTTAATCTATGGTATTTTTAGTTTCTGACAAAGACCCTGTATTTGCTTTTGTTAAGTCTGACGTAAAATAAATAACCTCTAAGTAAAAGTAACAAATTTTACACTTTTTAAACTTTTTGTTTAAAGTCATGATGAAATAGTTTTTTGTTTTACAAGTGTTGTAGTTGCTCACGAGGCCAAGTGTGCATTAACACAAGCTTGAAAAAAGCTTTTCTCACAAGTAAAATACCTACAATGTTTTTTCTACGACCCTTTTATTTTTTATTATTGTCAAATACAAAACAAAATAACATAAAAATGTGTTTGACAGCTGTTAAAAATATTTTAATCTTATTCTTTTAATTTTTAAGGTATAATTTACTTAAAATCAATAAACTCACCTTCTTAATTTAGTATGCAAACACAATGAATTGTCTTCTAAACGATATTTAGACATACATAACAAATATAATGCAAATTTTGAAACGAATGTCAAACGATGCTGACAATTTCTTTTCACACAGACCTGTCACTTTTCATACAGAAATGTCACTTTACATTCGTGTTTTGCCTTGCCAATGAAAAGATTAATTTTCTAAGCAAATATGTCATTACGAAATGTGACTTTTACATAGTGGTCATAGAAAAAAAGAATTAAACTACCGAATAATTAGTACGCAATGTTTGCATTTAAAAAAATAACGGAGGTAGATTTTTTAAGTAATTTTCTGGGATTCCTTGGGATCCGTAGATCAAACACCTTCAAGTTGATAACTTTTACCATGCATGGTATTGCAAATGCGTATTGCAAACGAAAACTTACGATTATAAATTAAATACCAATCAAATTTAAACACTTTTTTTTAATAATTTACAAAATGTATTAAAATTTAAAACTTTTTTAACTAATTGACGCGTTTCTCAGAAAAACATCATTAGTCCAAAATTAACATATTTGGGAAAATGAAAAAACTCTCCGACATTCCCATTTTTTACCAAAGTACTTTATTGACCTATTTACATGTAAAAAAATGTAAGATACTTTGTCCAGAATTCTTCATGTTTTTTGTTTCGACGAATATGAAAAAAAAAAACAAAAAATACATGAACATGTGAGGTTTTTAGAAGAAAAAAACGAACAATTCTCCTTACTACAAACACTAAAAACTAAATATTAACTCTGAGTAACAAAATAAATGAAAAAACTAAAAACTGTATTACTGCCACACTCAGTCTTCGCATCCACTGCTGTTATCATCGTTGTCGACCGTGTTATCAGGACTGTCAGGTGCTATGGTCTTCTGCCCTTTATCATAAAATTTTCTATTGCTGTGGTCATGTAAAAGAGGTAGAAGCTTTTCTAGAGTGTCCAAAAACGTCACATGTTATGAACATGTGACTCTCTTAGAAGAAACGGAGTGGACTTGTGATCTTTTTAGAAGTACAAGCTAAATATTTAATTATTATGGAACCTATGACATTTTTACGAGAAACACTTATTTGTATACGTATATATGGAGGTTACGAAACAGTTGGTGCTAATATCTAAATTTCGACGATATTGGACTAATGATGTTTTTCCGAGAAACGCCTCAATTGTTCTATGTTGTCCTTCGTTTGAAGAACTTAAAGTACACCCAAATGAAGAACAATGTTTAATACAAAATAATTTAAATTCAATGTGGATTTAATGGTTTTAAAAGTTGTTTATAAATATTTTAACACAAAAAGTTTACTATTTAACCGTTTAAAAAAAATGTCTCATGATACCTTCATTCCGCATCGGTCTAAAAAACAACTAAAGTAAATACCTAATAATCTTATGGAAACCCGAAATTGACGTCTGGTCAGTGCTGCGCAGCGAACTTCATGCGCTTCTGTTTCTGCCGCTGATTGCAGAACCAAACGCGCACCACGTTCTTTTTCAGGTCCAACTTTTCAGCGATCGCGGCAATTTTCTCGCCGGACGGCCTCGGTTGCACGGCGAAGTACGCCTCCAAACTGCGCTTTTCCGGAGCCGCGATCGACGTCCGCTTCCGCTTCTTCTCGCCGGCCGGGAGCACGCTGGGCGCGTCCGGGTCTCGTCGCTTGTTTTTCGCCTGGGCTTCGGCCTCCTCGAGCCAGGCCTGCAGGATGGGCTTCAAGGCGATCATGTTGTTGTGCGAGAGTGTGAGTGACTCGAAGCGGCAGATCGTGGATTGCGAGAGCGCCCCGACGCCCGGAAGCTTCAGGTTCGCCAGCGCTTTTCCGACGTCCGCCTGCGTCACTCCGAGCTTTATTCGGCGCTGCTTGAACCTGCAACAATGGGAGAAATGGCTTTCAGTTATACATTTGACACCTTCAGTGAAAAAGCGTAAAGTCTTTGGGATCTTTTTACAACTAGAATGCGAAAGTATTCCCAACATACTCACGGTGTGCCTGAACGAAGTTTAAGTCACATAAAAATGCCGCCAAAAACTGATTGCAGTTTCTTGTTCGGGACTCTTTGATGACTTAAAAATAATATTTACCAAAATCCTAGCTGCTCCTCTTTTCGAAATTTTTTGAAAATTGATGACATTTTTTAAAATTCTTGTTTGTTTCAAAGTCTACCTTTGACAGAGTAAACATTACACCGATTTTTATATAATGATAGTATATTATTTAGGAGACTTAAAGAATACTTTTTAAAACTGCTCACATCATTTGATATATCGATGGTTATTTGACAAAACGACGAGTCGTAAGCGGCAAAACCTAAATTTTACAGGATAGATTTTTTTTTGTGTGGGAGCTTTATTTTTAAAATTATTTATATGAAAACTGGTGAGGCATTATTTTATTATTGTAGAATTCAAATATTTAAGTAAGATCGAATCCAATCTAAAATTTTCATTAAATTTTGTGGCATACGATATTTTATAAGAACATCTTTAGAAAAATGTAAAATTAGTCTTGTCTCTTAAGTTACATTTACGTTACTTTGTGGGATATAGATTTGATGATTACTTTTGTCAAAACATCGTTAGCGACATTTATTTTTTTACTTTTAATATTAAATAAAAAAAAATACAAAAAAATGTATTTATAAAATATCACCAACGATATTTTGCCAAACATTGTTTGAAAATGAAATTCTACATTAGCTTTCTTTGAAAAAAACCAACGATTTTTATTTACAAACCAGTATCTAACCCATGGAGCCTACACAAGGAGCCCGAACTTAATAGGGGAAATTGACAAAACCTGCCCTCTAAATTGTACAAATTAAGTTTCTTTTTTTCACCACCAGCGGCGCTGATTGTCGATGCTAGCCTTTCGGTACAAATTAAACAATTGTTTCAGAATAAACGGAACACCAGCGCCCTCTTATCTTAGAAAGATTCTTGTTTACATGATGTTCGGACTCCCTGTGATCTAACCTATGGTACCATGATCTAACCGTTATAAATTTGAGTCAAATTATTTGACGCTAGAACAACAGACAATTACTACAAAAAACACTTTTAACGAACCACACTACGTAAAAACAATTTAAATTAGGAAAACTATTAATAATGCAATGAAAAAAGTAATTATAAGCTTTTGATCAAATAAAATATTGTTTTAAAACTTGGAAGCAATCACCACGATGCAGGTATACTCACGAATAAACTGTTTAGAGCGGGAATAACGCCTTGATAGATCAAGGCGGGAGCACAATATTATCGTAAGCGACACAATGTTAAATCGCAAACGCCATGTCTCGGAGTTGCTTACGATTATTTGTCGGGAACATATAGGCGCTTACGTTATAAATCGGTAACAAATTAAAAATAAGAGGCGCTTACAATAATAAAAATATTCAAACTGACCAATATTAGATTCCAAAATTGAGATAACTATTATGTTAACATGTGCAGCTTATCGTAACTGACACTTTGATAAAATAAAAGGTAATTAAACAAAATTGTCGCTTACGATGTTTTGTCAAATAACCATCGATATACAGGATGAGCCAAAACAATAATGGCACCAGCGGAAGTAAGATGTGTGCAAAATCTTTTAAAAAGCCCGATGTCACTTGAAGATAAACTTTTAAATAAGAAAAATGAAAGACATATTCCCGATCTTCGAATACACTACACTTCCACAAGTAAAGGCCGAACAATAGAGTATTCAACAGAAATATCTATGAAAAATACGAGTGGATATGCGGATGTTCAGTAACCATGGTTATTGCAATAAGCTTTTTTGTTTTATGGACTTTATGTACAAAAATTAGTAGGTAAGTTTTTTGTGCCCACCCTCTTCCAGAACCAACGAACGCCACTTTATAATTGTAATACTAACATGTAGAGAACGATATGTCCTACAAGTGGTCTTTGTAAAAAACATGTTCTAATTGTAATACCAAAATGTAGAGAATGTTGTGTTTCAAAGAATATTTGTATAGAAAACGAGATACTTGAATTTCGAGGTGATCCCCTTTTTGCCTTATTTGACTACCTATTTGTATTATTTTTTTGTAAAATAATACACTTTAGCATTCTAGTTTTCATACACCTAAGACAAAGTTAATATTTACCTCTCAGCAAACGCCTCCAGTTCCCTGGGATCGGTATCGGCGTCGGGATGGAGACCCGCTACGGCGGCCGCCGCCGCAGCCGCCGCCATCGCCGGATGGTGGGCGCCCGGATGGCCGCTGTGGTGACCCGAGTGGTGCCCCGGGGCGCTGTGGCCCGACAGCGGACCGCCGTGATGGTGATGGTTCATCACGTGGTTCATGCCGTAGGCGTGCATGTGCGAGGGGGTGTCCGACATCGGGGTGAGTGTGGTCATCGAAGACGAGGAGATGGGGTCGAGCATTTCCAGTCCGTCCATGTGGCTCATCTGGAATAAAAGAAAAAAATAAAAGTTTGCCTTTATTTTTATCTTCATTGATGTTATCGATTATGGCCTTGGCGCATAAAAATCATTATTGGCTAGTGATAAGATTTTGTCGTCATCGCATTCGTTTTGCAACATGATGTACTATGATGCACACCTCAAAGTCCCACCACGTGACTACGTACAGAACGCAGTCTTTTGAACATTTGGCATTTAAGGCTTTTCAGGTTATGTACCTGTCAAAGTATAGTCAACGAAAGAAATATTATGAAACATTACAATACCATGGTTGGTTTAAGAATTTAGGAATAGAAATACTGCATTTAATGAAATTCTAAAGTGTATGGTGCCAAATAAGTAATATTTTTGTATTTGGTCCAAATATCGGGTTTTCTCCATAAAATAATTTTAAATAAACAGCATTTATTGAAAAAAAATCTAGCTTCTCTATTATGGAATAAGTATTAGGGTGTTTCAAAAAAATCGACTTTTTCTTTTTCTTCAAATGGTCGGCAAATTCTTTCAGAGGATGTCAACACAAAGACCTCGTCAAAATTTTAGCTTTTAATTTGAAGATTTAGAGGTCGCGGATCGCAATTTTCTATTTCCCATTTAAATAACATGGGAATTTTTTTTTTTTAACTTTGAAATTTTATACGTCTGAATCAAATCAACTTATGTCAAGGATCATCTTAGATTTTCATAGTAAATTTAACGCTTTACAAAAAAGGTCTCCTATCATTTTTCTATAAATTGATTCCTTCCAGAGTTATTCAAGGCCAAAGTTTGATTTCCATCGAATTTTCGCGTTTTTTTAACATTTATGGTACAATTATCATTATACGGGTGGCCAAACTTAAACAGTGCATTATTCGTATAAAAATAACACTTTTTGTTTAATAAACATGTATCAAAAAATGCTCCCTGAAGGAGCTACGGCCCCCTGAATAGGAGCCTAAGAGGATAATTTTTTTAAAACTATTCCTAGAGGGTTGAACATGAACAAATGAATTTTCGGTAGGTACTTTGGTAATTTTGACATGCTTAATCTAGATCTATGATCAAAACTGTTAAAATTTAATCATAGGCGTAACATTTGGAGGGGGCAAAGTTACAAAAATAGCCCCAACTTTTTTCTGGGTTATTAATTTAATTTTTTTTATGAAATTATGAGAATTTATAGTTTTTTACGAAAAATAGGTACTCTTGATTTGAATTGCTCAGATGCACCATTTTCGAGAAAAATGCATTTATAAATAAATTACTTTGCATATTATACACATCTCATATTTTCATTAAAACTTTGTAGTAGGCTTTGGAAAAAAGTGACGTTTTTTTGTTTTTTTGTTTTTTTTACAACACTTCATATGTTTCAGATATAAATATGTGATTTTTTTACTACATGATGCTAAAAGTTGAAAAAACTTGAAAATTCGATGGAAATCAAACTTTGGCCTCGAATAACACTGGAAGAAATCAATTTATAGAAAAATTATAAGAGACATTTTTTATAGAGCGTTAAATTTACTATAAAAATCTAAGATGTTCCTTGCCATAAGTTGATTCGATATAGACGTATAAAATTCCAAAGTTAAAAAAAAAATTCCCTATGTTATTTAAATGGGAAATAGAAAATTGCGATCCGCGACCTCTAAATCTTCAAATTAAAAGCTCAAATTTTAACGAGGTCTTTGTTTTGACATCCTCTGAAAGAATTTGCTGACCATTTGAAGAAAAAGAAAAAGTTGATTTTTTTGAAACACCCTAATAAGTATATCTGTATTAAAGGTAGGTTACTATTTTATAACAAAAATATAATCTAATTTTATAATTTTAAGGTTAGAAAAATTTATTTTTACCAATATAAATAAGTATTTTGGATTATTTGAAAGACTGTATAATATGGTATTTAAAAATGTGGTAGTTTTTCTAATCCAGCTTCAAGTGTACCTACATAAAGTTTTGTCAATACAAATAGTTATAAAGCTTCGACTGCATTTGATCTACATCGAAAAATCATAACTTTAAAAATTTTAATAAATCACATGTCATGGGAGTATTAAATATTTTCACATTGCAAGTTTCTCTAAAAATTGTTTTCTTATAATTTAACTTAAAGTAGGTATGCCGAGAGGTATGAACAAGTTTTGTCATTAGAAGTATAATTTATACTGTATAAAAGCTTCAATTTAATTTGAACCATATTCTACAATTATTTAGTATACCTATATTTATTTATGACCATATTAACACACTCTTCCAAATAATCCACTTATTTATTTTGGTCAAAATAGATTTTTCTAACCTTAAAATACAAAATCAGATGATATATTTTGTTCTAATACATTAACCTACCTTTGATACAGATATTCTTATTCCATAATAGAGAAGTTAGATTTTTTTTAATAAATGCGTCGTAGTTAAAACTATTTTATGGCGAAATGTAGACCCAATGCACAAAAATATCACTTATTTGGCACCATACACTTTAGAATTTCATTAAATGCAGTATTTATATTCCTAAATTCTTAAACCAACTATTGTTTTTGTGATAATATAAAGATTTATTAACTTTTACCGCTTAAACATAAGCGGTAGCACTATAAATATTATTTCTTTCATTGACTATACTTTGCCAGATACATAACCTGAAAAGCCTTAAATGCCAAATTTTCAAAAGACTGCGTTCCGTACGTGGTCACGTGGTGGGACTTTGAGGCGTGGAGCATAGTACAACTATTGATTATCACAATAATTAATTGGCAAATTAATTGTTGTCTATTAAAATTAAAAAAAAAAATTCTCTCGTAGCATATTAATATGTATTTCTTTAGAGTGTAATACTTACTAAGTATTATGTTGTGTTTGGACAGTGACTATAAGTTTAATTTAAAACACAAACTCATAAACTAAAGCCCTAAATGTTATCGTGGACTGAAAGCATCTATCATCCATATTATAACACTTTTTTCAATATTAAGTTTAATAGAAACGCACTATGTCAAGATATTTCTCTATTTTCTTTGATAATATTACTATTATTCATGTATTCGCGCGGCAACTACTCATCAAGTGACGCGGCACGAACCAAAACTCGTCCACGGGAGTATCCAGCCCTGGGCTGCTTTTGTCAAGTCTGACGTAAAAAAAATAACCTCTAAGTTAAAGTAACGAATGTTACACTTTTTATTATTGTTGTTTGTTGTCATGATAATTAAGAATGAATCCACAATCCACACAACACTGCATAGAGTTTAACTGATGCCATTTTTGTTGTTTACAATTCTTGTGGTTTGTGCTGTTTAATAATCGTTTTAAACGTTGTGTTTTTTACAGAGGCACTTGTAAGCCCCAAATGAGCTAAAGGCCAACCATTTTACTCCTCTTTTATAAAAATAAACCTTATTCTATCAGGACTGTCAAACGTCAATTTGAAGGATAATTTGTGGGTTATAAAAAACAAACGATTACACAGCCACACAAAAAAAAATTTGTGTTCTGATCTGGGGGCCTGACCATATTTTCTATATATTTTTGGGGTCGCTGAATCCGAATCCGAGGTCTATTTAACCCCATCACATCAGGATTTTGCCATAACCTTAAAAAACCCATCATATAAGCTATTACTATATATAACCCTGAGAATGTGGTTTTAATATAAAAATCCAAGCTCTTAAATATCACAACTTTATAACTCACATAACTCCATAACCCCATAACCCATTTAACCTCATAACTCAATGTACATCAACCACGTTTGTCAGATATTTAACTTAATATGTACGTTATTTTAATAACCGCATAACTTTAGTCTCTTCAAAGCTAAATGTCTGACATACGTAACTGTTGGAATTGATGTTGATGGGGTTAAATGGGTTACAAGGTTATGGGATTAAGTGGTTTATGGGATGGGGTTAAAATGGTTATTGGGTTTAATAGCTTGGGTTTTCAGATCACAATTTCATCCTAAGGATTATATGGTTAAATAGATGATGGGGTTAAGTGGGTCATGGGGTTATGGGGTTAAGTGAGTTTTAGGCTTATAGGGTTTAGGAGCTTGGGTTTTTAGACAACAACTTAATATTTAGGGTTATATGCGTTTAATAGCTTAAATTATAGATTTTTTGAGGTTATGTCAAAATCCTGATGTGTAGGATTAAATAGACCTTGGATTCGGATTCAGCGACCCCAAAAACATAAAAGAAATATGGTCAGACCCCCAGATCAAAACACAAAAAAAAATTGTGTTTTGATCTGGGGGCCTGACCATATTTTCTATATATTTTTGGGGTCGCTGAATCCGAATCCGAGGTCTATTTAACCCCATCACATCAGGATTTTGCCATAACCTTAAAAAACCCATCATATAAGCTATTACTATATATAACCCTGAGAATGTGGTTTTCATATAAAAATCCAAGCTCTTAAATATCACAACTTCATAACTCACATAACTCCATAACCCCATAACCCATTTAACCTCATAACTCAATGTACATCAACCACGTTTGTCAGATATTTAACTTAATATATACGTTATTTTAATAACCGCATAACTTTAGTCTCTTCAAAGCTAAATGCCTGAGATACGGAACTGTTGAAATTGATGTTGATGGGGTTAAATGGGTTACAAGGTTATGGGTTTAAGTGGTTTATGGGATGGGGTTAAAATGGATATTGGGTTTAATAGCTTGGGTTTTCAGATCACAATTTCATCCTAAGGATTATATGTTTAAATAGATGATGGGGTTAAGTGGGTCATGGGGTTATGGAGTTAAGTGAGTTTTAGGCTTATAGGGTTTAGGAGCTTGGGTTTTTAGACAACAACTTAATGTTTAGGGTTATATGCGTTTAATAGTTTAAATTATAGATTTTTTGAGGTTATGTCAAAATCCTGATGTGATGGGGTTAAATAGACCTTGGATTCGGATTCAGCGACCCCAAAAACATAAAAGAAATATGGTCAGACCCCCAGATCAAAACAAAAAAAAAATTTGTGTGGC